TCGGTGTCTGTCTGTATTGTGGTCAATCTTCCTGTGTGTAGTTATCACATCTGATTGTACAATAGATCATCAATATGCTTCTTCTAGAGTCACAAGCTTTTCAAACGAATGCCCCGCCCTAATTAAAGTGCATTCTCCACCCATGATGGTTTGCTGGACACAGAGAAAAAGAAGGTGTCCCTAGAAATTTATATGGAATGTTGGCTACTATGTAGAGGGGTCACCTCCACTCCCACCAAGGGGGGGATATCTGACTGCCTAGTCCAGCCTTCCTCAGCCAGGGGTCCTCCAAAGGTTCTCGGGGCTTCTTAGACAAATAGGATTTTTGGTTGACCTGTAAAAGCCATTTGTTGGGTACATGACGGGACACACAGCATCTTATTACATCCCTACTATCCTGCACCACCTACAGGTGATGGACACTGGAACAACAGACAGGAAGTCCCCTTGTAGTGCGTGACTCTTATGTAGTTCAGGTAGATATCACGGTTCACTGCTCTTTTTTAGGAATTTAACTAGCAAGGCCTAACTAAATAGAAAGGAAAACTTAGAAAAATATAATTAAAAAGTCATTGTAAAAATATAAACTTTGCCTACCTTAAAAGTGCACAGTGTCTGTCAGTAGAGCAGTGAACGTGTCAGTAGAGCAGTGAATGTTTAGTAGAGCAGTGAATGGTGTCAGTCAGAGCAGTGAATGGTGGCAGTATGGCAGAGGATGATGGCAGTAGAGCAGTGATGTCAGTAGAGCAGTGAACGTGTCAGTAGAGCAGTGAATGGTGTCAGTCAGAGCAGTGAATGGTGGCAGTATGGCAGAGGATGATGGCAGTAGAGCAGTGAACGTGTCCAGTAGAGCAGTGAACGTGTCAGTAGAGCAGTGAATGGTGTCAGTCAGAGCAGTGAATGGTGGCAATATGCAGAGGATGATTGGCAGTAGAGCAGTGAATGGTGGCAGTAGAGCAGCAGTGGATGGTGGGCAGTAGGTTGATGGCAGAGGCAGTGATGGGCAGTAGAGCAGTGGATGGTGGCAGTATGGCAGAGGATGATGGCAGTAGAGCAGTGGATGGTGGCAGTATGGCAGGAGGGATGGCAGTAGAGCAGAGGATGGTGTCAGTAGCAGCGGATGGTGTCAGTAGTTTTTAATTTTAAATTATATTTTTTACAACTTTATTTTTTTTTTATTAGTTTTTACCATTTTATTTTTGTGGTTTTATTTTAACAACTCTGTTGTGGAATGATTGTTCATTCACAAACTGAAGCATAGCAAATACAGTTTACTATGTCTCAGTTATGAATGAACACAGCGAGTGATCAGCGCTCCCAATCACCATCTGGAAGATCATCCACAGCAGCCGGTGGGGAATGAGAGGATGAGAAGTCAACAGCACTGATGGAGAGCACACAGAGTGGCCAGGCAGAAGAAGGAAGGGGACAGGAGGAACATTGGGGGCTGCATTTACTGGAACCAATCCCCTTTCCTCAGGTAGCAGCTGACTGCCAGCTTGAGGGAGAAGCTGGCTTTCATCTGCAGCGTGAGAAGGGAAGGGATTGGTTCCAGTAAATGCAACCCTACTCCTGTGCAGGTCCAGAAGGCCAGCAATGAAGGGATGCAATCTACCCATCACCTACCTCTGGTCAACAGGTAAATCATAATCAACGGGTTGCCAATCACCTCTGAACGAAGAACTGACTCCTCCAGAGACAAATGCTGGCAGCTGAGGAAAGTCCACCCTGAAAACTTCTATATTTCTGGAGGGTGCATGGCTACTAGAGCAGGAACACAAAGAACCGGACATCTGGGGCCTCTCTAATGAATTACATATGCCCAGCCATGGTGTTATCTAATTGGGCCCTCACAGGGACCTTCATCATGTCAACCAATGCAGGAAAACAAGACTAAGCACCCCCACTATCAGAGCATTGGAAGCAGCAACCCCACCTACAACAACCAAGTCTTGTGGTAATAAAAAGGGAGAAAGCAATCTCAAAGACAACCAACAGTCCAGAATCTAATGATTGTGACCTCCCCATTCCACGCCATCAGGACATTTCATAGTAAAGGTCTGGAATAGCACTGGGAAAAAGGTAGCCTACTTCCCAAGAACCTCAGGTAAAATCCAATGAAGGAAACCTTACCAGTGACCTGAACAAAGTCACCTGAGCCTACCCGGGAGGAAGAACCACTCTCACCTGGGCAGACTTCAGGGACAGGTCCCAAAATTCCAATCAGGAGTAACAAAGTGAGCCTGGAGTAGCGCACCCAAAATGGAGAACCCAACCAATCTCTGAGTGGGCATCAGGGGAGACTCATTGAGGAGGATTTACTAAAACTGGTGCAGCTGTGCATAGTAGTAACCAATCAGCTTCTAGGTTTTACTGTCAAAGCTTTATTGAACAAGCTAAAATTAGAAGCTGATTGGTCACTATGGACAGCTGCACCAGATTATGTGTACGCCAGTATAAAGTAAATCCCCTCCCAGTGTGTTCCAAGAAAAGAGTAGAGAAGTAAGTCATCCATTTACCCTACAATAGGAATACCCAGAGTCCATTAAAAGACCCAGAATCAGAGCCAAGACCCTAGTGAACCTCTGGGAATCAGGAATTGTGGACAGGTCAAACGGTAAGGACACAAACAGGAGATAACATTCCTCCATCATAAAAATGTCAGGGACCTCTGGAAAAGGAAAGAAACAGGAAGTTGGCCCCCTTTATGTCCACCGATGCCCGGAAGACTCCCAGCTGGAAAGAGCGTATCACTAGATACACAAATTCCATCTAGAACTTCCACTCATGAAGAGAGCTGTCACAATGACTTCAGATCCAGAATGAGAATCTGAATCTCCTCTCCTTTAGGCGCACCCTGAAAACTCATCTCTTCAGGGAAGCCTACCCCACCCCCTGCTAACTTGCTGACCTCCTCCACTCTTCCTACCACTCCATCCCCACAGCTATCTCCTCCTGTGCCACCATCCCCTCCCTCCTAGATTGTAAGCTGGAAAGAGCAGGGCCCTCGATCCCCTCATGTTTTGCATTGTATTGGTATTGTTCTGTTCACATGTTCTGTCCCCCTTTGTAATGTACAGCGCTGAGCGAACTATTGGCGCTTTATAAATACTGTATAATAATAATAATAATGAGATGACCATCACCGTTTGGTATTGAAACCATAGAAGGTTTGAGCCTAAAGTAGGAACCTCTTGTCCTCTGTGAAATCACTCCCTGAAACAAATGAAGATCACGAGTTTGTGAAGGAACAAATCTGTTATGCAGAATGAAGGGAAAGGTGAGGAGCAGAAAGGCTCAGAATTCCAACTCATAGTCGGGCCCCACCATGCTCAGGTGAGAGGAGTGGAGGTGCCTCTTCAACCGAAGTCTCTTGTTTAGCTGGAGTGAATTCTCAGGACTCCTAATGGAAATGGGGAATACGGAGGAAAGCATGAAACTTGAGAGCAGCAATGGAAACATTTTGTTGAAGTAGAAGGAGCAGCAGATTGTTGGAAATGTGAGCTTTCCCTACCCCCCGACAGCACCAGAGTGGCCCTCTTCCCGATAACTTCTGAATAGAATAACTTTTGGTTGAGATGAGAGATTGCCGGCTCTACTGGAAGCATACACCCTCTCTGAGTGAACTCGCTCTCCTGGGGCATTGCAGAGTCCATGGAGGAGAAGTCTTTCCCTGACCACTTCCAGTATAAAATGTCATCTGCCTCTTGCTTCCTCCATCAGGTCCCTTCCATAACAGGAAGAGAGGTGAAAGGGAACACGTGTTTGTGACCTAAAAGGTCCAACCGGCACCAATCCCAAAAGCTATGCTATCCCTTAACCAAGCAAATATAGATTCTTCCATAATCACACAGGAATCGGAGGCAAGATATCCCTAGAGGTTGCAGAAATACCTGATAGGTGATTAGAGTCAGAGCCCCAAAAAGGAGACCTTGACCCGACCTTTCTGCCATCTAGTAGGCCCTGCTGACCCATATAATATGACCAACAATCCAGCGATCCTGGTCCGCTGAGAAGGCACTGTGCCCTGGTTACCCCAGTTGATCACTCACCCAGCCTGCCAGTGCCCATTGCCACTCCCAATCATGAAGGTGTGTGCTGGTGCTGCCCCCAAGAACCTTGTGACCAGTCATTGTGTCTACCAGTAGGAGTCATCCAGGCTGCAACCATGTACATCTGGGGTGTGTGGGCCTGTGGGGGAGAACACTGCCAGCTGCTTACAGCATTTGGAGACTCTCCATAAATACTCTGCATGTATGGATGTGCCGCCTGACATGGAAACAGGCACAAGCACCACCTCACTTCTGTCATCCTCGCCTACACTGCATATATACGCTTGCAGCCCAACGTCCAGACAAGGTGGAGGACAAAGAACTTCGACTACCACAGTAGATGCCAAAAGTCTGCCGGGCCTTTCAGAGCACCACTTCCACTATGTAGTGATCCTGTGGCCTGGGGAGGCACCTAACAATGCAAGAGGGTAGCACCATCTAGTGTTCATGAATTGGCAATAGTACAGCAGTGCCTCATTATTGCCACTAGATGGAGCTAATGACTATAGGAAATCACTATATGAAATAAAATACGGCCAATATTCATCATGCCTAAGCAAAGGTGTGTCATATTCATTCAACAAGTAAAAATTAAAAGGCCTGTAAATAGTTACAAAACTTAACACCACAAAATGTACTCAGCCAATGACAGGGCAGGACTCCATTTTTATTCTTTCTGACATAAATGGCCAACCCGGTCCCACACTTCATCCATGTCTTTGGTGACCTCTGATCTCCTTATGGACTGTTTCTTCCATGATGAAGATCAACCATGGAGTATATCTGAGGTGTATATCAGGGTGTGCTTCTTCCCCACATGAGAGCTGGGATGTAAGCGACATTCATCTAGAAGACATTTCCCGCACTCAAGGCACTAATACACCACCAGGGTTGTGTGGGACCCCTGATGTACAAGAAGACAGGACTTCAGTGAGGAACATTTCCCTCACTCAGGACAGGAAAGTGGCTTCTCACCCGTGTGAGATCTCTGATGTCTGTAAAGATTGGACTTATCTGAAAAACATTTCCCGCACTCAGGACAGGAATACGGCTTCTCTCCCGTGTGACACCTTTGATGTTTGTAAAGACTGAACTTGTCTGAAAAACATTTCCGCACTCAGGACAGGAATATGGCTGCTCCCCTGTGTGAGATCTCTGATGTGTATAAAGATTAGACTTTACTGAAAAACATTTCCCGCACTCAGCACAGGAATAAGGCTTCTCCCCCGTGTGAGATCTCTGATGTGTGTAAAGAGTAGACTTCTGTGAAAAACATTTCCCGCACTGGGGACAGGAATATGGCTTCTCCCCCGTGTGACCTTTGATGTTTGCAAAGACTGAACTTGTCTGAAAAACATTTCCCGCACTCAGGACAGGAATGTGGCTTCTCCCCCATGTGAGACCGCCGATGTTTGTAAAGATTGGACTTCCGTAAAAAAACATTTCCCGCACTCAGGACAAGAATATTTCCTCTCCCCCTTGTGCAATTTCCGATGTGTGTAAAGACTGGAATTGTCTGAAAAACATTTTCCACACTCAAGACAGGAATACGGCTTTTGCCCCGTATGCGAACTCTGATGTCTGTAAAGATTGGACCTTTGTGAAAAACTTTTTTTGCATTCAGGACAAGAATACGGCTTTCTCTCCTGTGTGAGATCTTTTATGCACGTTAAGTTTGGATTTGAAATGGAAAACCTTCCCGCACTCAGTACAGGAGAAGCTCTTTCCTGTTGGAAGGCCGGCCGGTCCCGCACAGTCTGAGGTTCCTCAGGATACGAGGAATCCGATGGTCATCTACACTGGGTGGTGCCGGATGGACATTGGAGGGAGCCGGGTTTTCTCCTGGACTATACTGTGTGATGTCCTCATCTTCTACTTTCCAGTCTGGAGACAAAGTGAGACAATCCTCGGAGGTTTTCTCATCTCCCGGCCATGGACTAAAATACAAAGACAAAGAGGATTACTAGACAGGAGCTGATTGGTTCCCCCAAACCAGGACTCCGCCCACATCAGGCAGCTTGGTCTCTGAGGAGCTTACAATTCCACCCTCAAGGGAACTAGGAAATGGCTCCTCTGATCTCCTACCAGGTCATTTCTTTATTCATGGACTTTAGTCAGAGAGTGAGGAAACAACCAGAACTGATACATAAATTGTGTCTGCAGCACAGAGAAGGAAGATTATCCGAGAGAAATCCAGGAATACAGGACGGGGAACACAGCTCAGGAAAGTGACCAGGGGATTACAGGCTGATATCACCCAGTCCCCCCGCCCTACTCTGGACCAATCAGTGAGCAGTATGGGTGGAGGAATGGATTTAGTGTTCATGACACCTGTGCTGATCTCTGTAGGAGTGTCCTCCTCTATAAATATCCCCGTTATTCCATCCTCCTCCATAGATTGCTGATCATCCCTCACATACGCCTCTTCTTCTTCTGCTTTAACCTCAACTTTTATATATTCACCCTAAATCAAGAAAATGAGAAATTCAACATAATATATAAATATAAGCTAACATTAAAAATCCATGTTCAAGATGCTCTGTCCAACCAACCATGTAACAGTGAGGGATGGTGTGACCTTCCTGTGTGGAATCCCGGGAATACAGAGGACGGGGACATCTCTCTGGTGGGTTCCTGGGTATTAGGTGGCTCCATCATATCCTTGTGTCCTTCTGAAAACTCCTCCATCACTCCATACTCCTCATCCTCCTCTTTATACTCTTCTTTAACCTCAGCTTTAGGATCTCTCAGGTTTCCACTCTGAATATATAATAAAAATGCATCAATGGTAACAATGCAGATAATGTACAGATCCTAATGATACTGTCAGTGATTGTCACTCATCTACCTGATGATGGTGAGGGATGGTGTGACCTTCCTGTGTGGAATCCCGGGAATACAGAGGACGGGGACATCTCTCTGGTGGGTTCCTGTAGCTGGATGACTCCACCATGGTATCCTGGTACAGATCTTTGTGTCCTTTTAGAAGCTCTGGCTCCTCCATCCCCCCATCCTCATCCTCCTCTTTTATCTCTTCTTTAACCTCAACTTTAGGATCTCTCAGGTTTCCACTCTGAATATATAATAAAAATGACATCAATGGTAACAATGCAGATAATGTACAGATCCTAATGATACTATCAGTGATTGGATAATATCCCAGAATTCCCGGCACCGCGCTCACCTCTCCTGTAAGCAGCTCCATCATCTTCTTGGTGACTTCTAGAATCTTCTGCATGTTGTGTCTCTCAGGGTTTAGGGAGTCACATGGAGGCACTGTGATGGTCATATGATCACCTGACTTCAGAAGAGGAAATCTCTGTATTGAGGAACCAATAGAAACATTGTGTTATACTTCCAGAATCCTCCTCACCTCTCCGGTCAGGTCTGTGTTTATTAATAGAGATAAGAGTGATGTCATGTGATCTCCCAGAATCCTCCTCACCTCTCCGGTCAGGTCTGTGTTTTATTAATAGAGATGAGAGTGATGTCATGTGACATCCCAGAATCCTCCTCACCTCTCTCCGGTCAGGTCTCTGTGTTTTTATTAATAGAGATAAGAGTGATGTCATGTGACCTCCCAGAATCCTCCTCACCTCTCCGGTCAGCAGGTAGATGATCTCCAGGGTGAGGTTTAGTATCTTCTCAGTCATGTGACTCCGGTCCTCCTCCATCCTCATTGGTGCCATCATGTGATCTATACAGGTCTCCTTGTAGACGGATAACTTTGGGAAATGAAAGTAAGAATGATTTGGATGGTATTGGTCACACAATAATAGGATGTGGATGTGAGGGGGAATAGGAGGGTTGCTGGACATTGAAGAACTACTCCCCCCATGGGAAGACATTTATTTTGGACTGTTTATTGTGTACTACAATTTTGAGGTCCGGGGCCCCTTTTCTCTGTTGGGTTTGTTTGGTCTCTGAACTGGTTTTGATGAGTATTAGATCTGCAGACAAGGAATGATAAATCTGATCCTTCCTATGACTAGTTTGCTCTGAGGCAGTGCTGTGAGGTCAATGTCGGCTCATCATGCAGGGATGGTCACTTTACATCACCCGACGCCCGGGACATGTAGTTCTGGGGGCCGGGCAAGTATTGTTTTTATTCTTTATCCCTGCTGAGGGCAAGCCGCAGGGCTCTCCTTTCAGGTGCCAGCCTCTGCCACCCCATGTGTGTGAAGCTCTCCTATACCTACTATGCTTCCCCGGCTCTGCTTGCCCATCTGTGGGCCCGGGTCAGCGGGTGTCGGGAGGGTAGAGGGGACGGAGGAGCGGACATGTTCACTCCCTTCTTGTCCTGACCCAGAAGTGACGTTATGACAGATTTCCCGACCATCGAGGCCGGCAAAGAATGTAATGCGGTGCGATGTGCACTACATTACATCCAATGGAGTACAGGGGAGACATTGGGGGTCTTTTAGACCCTGGATGTCTCAATAAAGAGAACCTCTCATCAAAAGTCATCTCATAGAGGACTTTGTCCCCTTAAGTAAAAATGTTTTTTTTTTTAATTGTAAAGAATCAAAGTTACACCCAAGTATATAACTCCTCCCCTTAAAAAATTTTTAGGCTCCCCCACCCCCACATATATGCACACCCAAATGTAAGAGCACACGCTGGAGCGCCTACACGTGATAACATTGATTGTGATACACGTTACATATCGCCGGTCACACCAGAATGAGAAGATAATTCTAGGAGCAGACCTCCTCCGTACTCTATACTGATGACCTAGAAGGGGCTATAAATGTGTCCCCTATAGATAATACCGGGACTAAAGGTTGTAACCATTTCAGCACACACAACTTAAGGTTTGACATGTTGGATATCTATTTACTCGCTGCAACCTCGGCTTTTATATTATTACACATAAATGGGTCATTTATTGCTTTTTTGTGCCCTGAAATTAACTTAAGTGTATTTTTTACAGAAATTTGGCATTTCCTAGACTTTGTGATAATATTTTCTGACATAAAAAAAATAGAACTGCCGCTATTTTATTCTCTAAAGTCTCTACTTTCAGAAAATCAATATTTTGGGGGTTTTGTGTCATCTTCAGGATAAAATGATTTTTTAAACATGCAAAAAATGCAAAAATGGCTCTGGGAGTGAAAGGGATAAAAGATAAGCCGGACACTCCCCTTTCCTGAGGAGCAGCCAATCGGTTATCATTACACTTCAAGGTCACTCCCCTCCCTGCTAGTCCCCGGGTGCGGTTCTGGAGACAGGCGGGGGAGGGGAGGAGGAGATAAACAGCGCAATGTTACACGTATTACACATTTAAGTTGTTATAAAGCCCCTTTAATTTTTTAAAGCCCCCAACATTCCTAAAAGAGTCTCAGATTTATATACATTTTCTGTTACAAAGGAATGTTTCCTTCCCCCTGAGCAGCAATGTAAGGGGCTCTATGCTCCATACTCCTGACCCCGGCACTCCATCATTGTGTTGGCTGCATAGTGTAATGATTGCCCATTGGCTGCCTGTGTAGTGTCATCATTGCCCTTTGTAGGCCATGTATGGTCAGGATGGTCCTTGTCTTGTCTATTTATTGTCAGTGCTGTTTGTTTAGAGGACCATATTACTAGAATTTATCTCCACAATGAGGAGAATGTTCCGGCCCCAGAAGTGGGGGGATGTTCTGCCCCTGAAGGGGTTCATCTGGGTTCCCACACTATATATGTGTGTATCATCATCTGCTGGAGATAAAAGACGCACAGTGACTATGGAGGAAGAGGATGGACGTGACTATGGAGGAAGAGGACGGACGTGACTACGGAGGAAGAGGACGGACGTGACTATGGAGGAAGAGGACGAACGTGACTATGGAGGAAGAGGACGGACGTGACTATGGAGGAAGAGGACGGACGTGACTATGGAGGAAGAGGACGGACGTGACTATGGAGGAAGAGGAGGACGGACTATGGAGGAAGAGGACGGACATGACTATGGAGGAAGAGGACGGACATGACTATGGAGGAAGAGGAGATGACTATGGAGGAAGAGGATGGACATGACTATAGAAGAGGACAGATATGACTATGAAGGAAGAGGACAGACATGACTATGGAGGAAGAGGACGGACATGACTATGGAGGAAGAGGACGGGCATGACTATGGAGGAAGAGGATGGACATGACTATAGAAGAGGACAGATATGACTATGAAGGAAGAGGACGGACATGACTATGGAGGAAGAGGATGGGCATGACTATGGAGGAAGAGGATGGACATGACTATCGAAGAGGATATGACTATGGAGGAAGAGGATGGACATGTCTATGGAGGAAGAGGACGGACATGACTATGAAGGAAGAGGACAGACATGACTATGGAGGAAGAGGACGGACATGACTATGGAGGAAGAGGACGGGCATGACTATGGAGGAGAGAGGATGGACATGACTATAGAAGAGGACAGATAT